CTTATCATAATTACGTCTTAATTTTGCCAAGTTTGAACCACAGTGTTTCGGAATGACCACAACAAAGACAATTGTGAAGTGAACGCAAAAAATACATGATGTTATGTTGTGTGTTTCTTAAAAAAAAATACACATTTCTTTATTTTTCTAATTTTTGCTAATTGGTCCCGAGGGATACTACCATAAAATTAGACAAGTAATAGTTATTTCAAAATAGTATAGAGTTCAGCTGTAGTAGTAATGCATGTTTAAAGGAGCATTATGTAAAAAGTCTGGCCAAAAGTGGTACTGCACCTACTCTCCCTGACTCAGGTTGCCAGATATGCAGACGAATCCAGCTGGGACCATAATAATAATTACTGAATATTCAAGAGTTTTGTCAACGGCAAAAATCTATAACCAACACCTTTTTCACAAAGATAGAAATCCTTGTTTTATTCCTTGTTTTGTCGTTAATGATTTGAGAATCATAACAAGACCTTTTTTAGTTCTGCGACCACATGGTACTTTACCAGTGAGATTAGTTTGGCGCGGTGAGTTCTGGCGCCCGGATCACAGACTTTCTGATTGGTTAAACAGTGGAGGGCGGGACATCGAATATCTCTGAACAACAGTTATCAGTTAAAGGTACTCTGTGTGATTTTTACCGTTGCTCCAAATGAAAAACCTAAAAACATGTTTACCAATAACAGAAGAATATTTAGCTCCACCATGTTTTTGAATTGTTGTCATAGACTTAGAATTTGACTTACAGTATATCTGTCTATGAGGCTGGAGGACTCTACTAATCCAATCAATCCATCATCTTGAAATACAGTGGTTGATGAGGGACAAAAAGGAGTTTGAGCGGGAATTGGAGACCACAGTCAAAGACCACATATTGTCCTGAGAAGCCCCCGTAGTTCTGTAGATAACAATATATGATCTCAATGCTCAATTAGAGTAAAACCTACACTGTCTACCGAAGAAGTATTGGAAAAGAGCCTGTTTTATTAAAGCCTTTTGACAGATTAGGGCCCTTTAATGAGGACTTGACATGAAAATCTTACATATTGCTACTTTAAAACGTTGTTACTCATTTGTTAGTTATGTTTTGTATGGACTTTGTAGAGGGGGTCGACAAGGAGATGTTATTTTGCTTAACTTGCTCCCCCCTCTTTGCCTGATGCTCGCTGAGGCCGGTCTTGTCAGCGCAGCGCAGAGTCAGAATGTAAAATGAGTGTGCGGTGTTTTGGAGACAGGGGAGAGAGTGTCCTCCAGTTCTGTGCGGAGGGAGGGACTGCAGCACAAACGACCCAGAGCTGTTTCCCTCCGCAGCAGCAACACAACACAACACAGCACGCACAAATGTCTCTGTATCACAACCTCTGGAGGAAATCTGGAGGTTGGAAAAAGGCAACCCAGTTTAAAACTCCAGCCTGTAATTCTTCGCTCTCCTGCTTGTTCTCTGTGCTGCTAAATAATAGTAAATAATCACAATCATTACGGTCTCATTCATCACATTCAACTTTAAAGATGAAATGTGAATTAATATCTAGAGTGGAGAAAATATGGTAAAACAAATATGAAGAGTAAATATTAAAAAAAAGCTTTCTGTCCGTAATACCCCATGCTACCACCGGGCGGAGGAGTTTTGTTTGTTTTTTATCCAAATTCGTACATCACCATTTGCAAACACAGGCATGCGATTGTAAATATGTCATTTCCCATCAGAAATTGCCGGAATGAATTCAGTTGCGATATAGAAAACAGCTCTGTGTGTGATGTCATAGTGATACAATGACGTCATACTATTACAGGACTGAGACAGGAGCGTTTAGACAGAAGGGGCGGAGCTACAAGTTTGTATATTAGCGTGGATGGATCTAAACTTCCAAGGGTGATGTGTATCTGTGCTCTTGGGCCAGCTGGGATTCGCTCGCGTGGTGTGTATATGTGCAGGGGGCGGGACTTACACCTGTCAATCCCGCAACAGACTGTGATTCATTCGCTCTGTGATTCAGGGCTAATGGAAATAAAAGTAGTCATCAGATAAATACACAGACAGTAGTTATAGGCATCAAAGAAAGAAGGTTCTGGGTTTGGTTAAATCTCCAGGCCTTTGCGTAGGTTTCCTCCGTGTGCTCCGGTTTCCCCTACCACTACAAACATGTGCAATCAGTCTGACATGCGCCTCCTTTACTGACCTCGCTCCTATCTCTGTGTGGAATGAGAGACTAATGGCCACAATTGTAAAGCGCTTTGTGACTCTGGTCTGTGAAAGGCGCTATATAAATAAACATGACTTACTTACTTATTAATTACAATCTTGTGCTACTTCACTACAAATAATTATAAAATCGAAAATAGCCCAGACACCCAGATAGACCCCCCTGACATAACCAGCATAAGTCAATGTGTATTTAGGCCTTAGATGACTGGTTCTGGATGATTACTTTTTAGAGCAGCCCTCCTCTCCCTCCTCTTCCTCCCTCTCCTCCTCCTCCTCCTCCTCCTCCTCCTCGGCTCGGCCTGTTCCCGCACACACTGTAAACTCTGGCAGACAGGAAGCTGCTTCGTTTCAGCTGGAGACAAATCAAAGGGAAGTGACTGCGCGGTGATATACTACATGGTCCTGCGAGCTGTGATGACTCAGGCAGCTGTGGCTAAATGCACACTCAGAGGAACCACACGCAGACGCACACACACACACACACACACACACACACTGACTGAGTGAGACGTTTAACTAATAGTCCGCCTCAGCTGCTCGGAAGACTTTCACTTATTCTTTTTGATCCTCCCATTCGTCTACAGCTGTGATGTTAGAGCGTGCAGGGGATCATTCCACCACCAGGGGGCTCTATGCATTCTGAAACACCCCATTAGCATGTATGTCAATGTCAATGTCAACTTTATTTTTATATGACATTGACATTTTCCCGCAGTAGGACAAAAATGGCCTATCTTATCTTATCTTATCTTAACTTATATTATACATTTGAAACATAAAATACACTCAAATACATGTGTAAAATGTAAAACAGTAAAAATCAGTTGGTATGAAGGAGTTGCTCAAATGCACAGAGATAAAGTATTTCACAGTTTGGGAGAAGCCAGAGCAGAAGCCCGGTCTCCTCGAGTCTTGCGACGTCTGTGAGAGACTTACTATCTCCAACTGCTCTACTGTAATGGCCAAAAATATGTTAAAATGTAGTCTGTTTGCAGTGGTTTGGGGACACCGGAGTACCAGGAGGAAACCTATGCAAGCACAGGGAGAACATGCCAGGCACGGTGGCTGAGTGGATAGCACTCTCGCCTCTCAGCAAGAAGGTCCTGGGTTCGAATCCCTTTCTGAGTGGCGTTTGCATGTTCTCCCCGTGTCAGCGTAGGTTTCCTCCGGGTACTCCGGTTTCCCCTACCACTAAAAATATGTACAATAGGTCTGGCATGCGCCTCCTGTACTGGTGCCCCCGCTCCCATCTCTGTGTGGAGAGACAAATGCCCAAAAAAAAATAAAAAAACAAGATATAGAAAAAAATTATAACACTTGTAAACCGCTTTGAGACTTAGATCTGCAGTGAAAAGGCGGTATATAAATACTTACTTACTTACTATTACTTACATGCAAACTCCATTCAGAAAGACACTGTTCCGATCGGGCTTCGAAATCAGTGCCGCCCTTAAACAACTCAAACACTTTTATTCTTCTAAAATGCGAATTAACGATTCGGAGTACGAACACATAAATAAATCTGGAAGCTGAGGCCCAATAATTGTGCGAGAAAAATGTCAAAGTATATTTTTGGGTTTTGAGAATCGACCTTCACGGATAATTCAGGATACCATTGCCTACAATAGTAAACAATGCGTATATTTTATTTTAATTGTTTTAGACGGTAAATAATCTGTAAAGTATGGCGGGACGTTTTGCTTCTAGTCAGGACTCAAATTTAGAAAACATTTACCGCTTTTTTTCATGTGTTTTCGATTGTTGTTTTCAGGCCAGAACCGGTTCCCAGGCTGCCGGTGCAAGACGCAGTGCAACACAAAGCAGTGTCCGTGTTATCTGGCCGTGAGGGAGTGCGACCCGGACCTGTGCCTGACCTGTGGAGCGGCCGAGCACTGGGACAACAAAGTTGGTGGTCACTGCAAAAAAACTGTTGTATTACACTTTTCATGCTGCCCAGTCCATGTTGAGGGACACTTCAACTATCTAGTGTGGCAAGACAAGATGCGTAAGTGTGGATGTTGGGTGGGTGTCTACCCACATGGTACACCTTGATGTCTCTCTCGTGGTCTGTTGGGCGGGGTTGTATTTTCAAAGCAAAAGAGCACAATAGTTCAAATCCTATATCTTGTCAGCATGTCATACTCTGTTGTGAGCTAGCGGTTGGTTAGAGGACATGATTTAGTATAATTAGATAGGATGGGTATTATTTATCTTACATTGCTTTGGGTTACATTTTATTTTGTTAGTGTTGTAGTGTAGGGTGTATATTTTTTTATATCTTATTTATTGTGTTAAAAGGAGTTCCGTTTTTTTATGGGTTATTGTACGTTTACTGTTTTTATGTCTTTTACGTATCTGTTATTTTTTTATTGTTTGTGATTAGTGGACGATGCTGAGGGGTAGAAAAGAAAGGTTCGTACATGGTTGAGTCTTATTAATTGTTCCAAAGACAGGAAGTGCAAACACCACCCAAAAAAACAAAAAAAAAAAAAAAAACAAAAAAAAATGAAAAAAACCAACATGATCCACTAGTAGGAGTGATCCAGTCTGCGTTGCGGGGTGTCACAATTCGTCATCTCTCAGGGTCGGGGCGGTGTCGAAGACCCCGGAGGCATCACACTGACTTATTCTGGGGTCTCACTTTTCGTTGCAGATCTTTTGTATTTATTTCTTCTAATTCTATATTGTTGGCGAGTGGAGCATCGATAGAATAGTAAAATCAAAGATGAAACGTTAAAAAGGAAAATAGGAAAGAAAAAAAAAAAAAATTGTCTTTAGTTACGTGAAA